TCTCGTGGCCTAGAGGTTAATGTGTTCGCCTCTCATTCAAAGTAAAAATCAAAGGTCCCAGGTTCGAATCCAGGTAGCCACTTAAAATTTTTCTTCTCTGAAATTGTTTCCTTTCACCTCCTTTCCTGCTCTCTAGCAATGTTCTATCGTCTACTGCTTTCGTCTCCTCTTTCTGCCCCCACCTCCTCAACTACTTTGCCCCCTCCTCTGAGCACCTGACTCTTTCTGCAGCCTTTCTACTTTTACTCCTTGGCTCCTTAGTGCTGTCTTTCAGCCACACCCTTGATTTTCTGGTAGGAAAAATCTACACCTAGCCTTCTCGGACAAGGGCGGAAAATCTAGTAGGTCCCGTGTGCAAGTTGCGCAGGTTAAAGATCCCTTGGTGGTCTAAAATCGATAAGAGTAGGCTTCGGCCGCCACCCGGGCAAAATTCTAAATTTCTTACCCGCTGAAAATGTTTTACTGCGCGCTCATAATATAACTTTATGCAGTTGTGAGCACCGTAAAACATTTACCAAAATAAAACAACAGAAAAACAAACAAAACAAACAAACAAAAAAGACTTTGTAGGGGCGCTCCATTAGCTCGGTTGGTATCATGATGGACTACGGTGCAAATATTCCTGGTTTGAATTACAGAATGTGCGTTCTTGAACTCTGGTAGTTTTGTGGAGTTTTCAAGGTTCTCAACCCATTTGTCTCGGTCCTATTGGAGATGGAAGTTAAATTAAGAGATTCTGTCTCTCAATAACCTAAAAGTGTTGATAAGAACGTTAAACCAATAATGTACTTAGTTACTAGACATTACCTAATAGTCAGTCTTAGAGTGCCCTGAAGCCTCAATACCTGCTGTCAGATTCGGAACCTGTGATTGTGTGTAGGTGCTGGGCCACGGCTCTGTCACATTTCCCACCCAGCTGCTGACATTTTCTGTCCCCGTCTTTTTATGCGAGAAAAATTCTGAAATTATGCAAACTGAGCTCAAAAATGTGAAAATAGGGCACTCTATTAATTTTATCAAAGAATGATAAAGGAAAATAATCAGAAATTATGAAAAAAAATTATCAAATTTTGCTAAATTATGCGGGGTGCATAAAACAACGGGGGACAGCATTTTAGAGACATACCCCTCCCTTCCAAAAAATACAAATAAATAAATAAAATACTCCCCCTCCCCCAACACACACACGCGCACACGTACACACAAACACACACACACGCACGCACGCACGCACGCATACACGCACACACATGCATGTACACACACACACACACACACACACACACACACACACACACACACACCAAAACACACCAAAACACACCAAAACACATACACAAGCACATACACACATATCAACGAACATAAACACACACACACACACACACACACACACACACACACACACACACACACACACACACACACACATACACACATGCACATATATACACACGCACACACCTTGTACTATTCGTATTCGACTTTTGTCCCTGCCTGCTTTATTAAAAAATGTCGCTGTTTCAATATTAATTAGCCTTGTCCTTAGAGTGTACGTTCTGTGGCAGTGCGAGAAGCGGATGCGCCAGTGAATCAAATAGATTTATATTATTCCTCTGCTCTAACGGCCACCTGTACTTGTAAGTCAATCACCTACGACCACTTCCAACTTCTCACTTTCTTTTGTTTTCCATATTAATAGTGATACTATCTAAGACGTACAACAAACAATAATCAACTTTCCCCTTCACGGTGGATGGCCGCCTTAGACAGTTTTGATTGTATTAAGAAAAAATGTTTATAGGACTGCATAGTTACACATGCAATAGGGGCCTATGGTAAATGTGTGTATGTTTCTGTGTAGAGAGGGGGAGAGGGAGAGGGAGAGGGAGAGGGAGAGAGAGAGAGAGAGAGAGAGAGAGAGAGAGAGAGAGAGAGAGAGAGAGCACGCATTGCCTCCATCAAATGATACTACTACGGTACTTTTGTCATCAGTAGCTTACTCGCAGACATACGGTATAGATACTGGACAAGTTGACAACATGGCTTGGAGCAGCAAAACAACAGACACAATTGCTGCAACTCAAGACAGAGTGAAGTGGATGCACAGAATTCTACACTTAGTGTAGAATTCTGTGAGTGGATGCCATGATCGCCCACGCCAGTCGGCAAGGCACCGGATATACTAATATTATTATGATGATGATGAGCTTACTATTACCAAAGAGATAGTTGTATGGGATGTAATTGGAGGGGAAGTTAGACCAGGGGGTGGGAATAAGGGGAATTGGGTGCTCACATGGCTAATAAGAATGTTTCTAAATTAATGAATAGGCCTATTACATTGAAATTTTAGGCTAATGATAAAAAGTATGTAAAAGTAAAACTGCGAAAAAGAATTCTGCGATCCAACATGTGGATCACTTTCACAATTTCCGAAACGAAATAAAAATGGCGCCAGCTGAAATTCTATGAAGAACAAAAAGTCGACTGCTAGGCATAGTGACAGAGTGTGCAAATTATTTAACACTTTTGTTAACTTCTTCGCAGTGTCTGGTCACCACATAGTTATTAAGGACAGCAGGTAGTCATGGATTTTGGAAACAGATCGAAAGCGCGCTCGAAGGTTGATGAGAGTAATGTAACAATTGACGAACACTACCCACATCGCTTGCAGCTGTACAGCACCCCGCCCTCAGGCACCATTTCTCTTCAGGAATTTGAAGAACTGGCAGTTGAAAGACTGAAGGGTTTGCTTCTTTTTGTTTTTTCTTTGATTATATTGATTTAGAATCTACTTAATTTAAGGTACTGTCGAACCTGTACAATAAGACGGCCACCTGTGTACAAACGGCCACTTTCCATTTCCCCCCTTGCGTTTTTTCTCTACATGATGTAAAATCTGTCCAACGCAGCCGCGGCCACCATATTATATATATTTTAACACACAACCCCTTTAACACCAAACAATAACACCTGTCTTAGACGGCCACCTTAGTGACTCCATTACGTTTTGTCATAAATTGTGCTTTTTTGGCCCCTGGTGTTGTGGGCGAGAAATTCAATCGCCTGTTGTCCTGTCGTTTTATTGTTAGTGTTGTTAGAGGTAATCCCTCCAACCGATCATATTGCGTAGGTCCCTCCCATTGTTGACCAATAGGTAACAAATTTTCTGCTGCTGGTGAGGTAAGTGTGTGATCCCTCCTAACCCATCTAGATCTAAGCCCCGCCCAGAACTCGCACAAAATCGTAAATGAGATGAGAGTGGTCACTGTTTAGGCCCTACCCAATCTGTAACAAGGTAACAATGGACGTCAACATGAGCTTGTGACAGAAGCGTCGCTCGTTCTCCGAGTGGTGGCGACCCATTGTGTTTGTTTTACAGCGCTCGGATCTTCCTTGTCATTTCGATTTATTTTACCCAGGCACAAAAGCCTGGAAAAAAAAAAAAACACCTAGCGAAAACAACAACAATAATAAGAACAATGCGGCTACCTTCGATTTGGACCTCAGAAAGGAATGGTTTGTTTTCTTTATCTTGATCAGTCCTGCCTAAGACGGCCACCTGTTTTACGGCCACTTTTCACTTTGACAATGGGTGGCCGTCTTACACAGATTCGACTGTATTTTTGAGGACCGATTTAATAAAAGCAACAGTTTTTCTCTATCTTAAGTCAAGACAACATGATGAAGTTACAACCTAAAGTGACAGTAAACTTGGCTTGTGCTAGCGGCCAAACCGTAAACAGGAGCCTGCCATTACAAACCAGAAAGCAGGCAGATCAGGGAACAATAGAATTTCTCCCTTGAAAATTCCTTGCCCTTTGCCTTTTACTACGACTAGAGATTTTTATTGAGAGGCGAAGGCCTCATGATATTAACTCTTTCACTACCGGGGGGGTTTTCCTCACCTGGACCGAGCCCCGTCTGTGACCTATTTTCTGATTCTGCCTACCCCTCAGACAAATTAAAGATTTTGAGTTCATTTTCAATATTCGTACTAGCCACATGATGTTATTATACAGTAGTCTCCTCCTAAGATCCCACCGCTTATGGTCCCAGTTCGCCTAAGATCCCGCTGTTTTGGAAAAACAGAATGTTTACTATATAAATGAAAGTCACCCCTAAGATCCCGCTCTGAAGGAGAAGCTACATTCGACTAAGATCCCGCTTTTCAGGTCTTAATTTAGTTTGTTTTTATTTAAGAAAAAAGAAGAAACCACCTGGGCGAGCTCAGCTGATCAATCAAGTAGAGAAAATGTGCGATCATTGTACGGTCCGTCGTGTAAAAAATCCTTCACTCTCATGAATGTGATCACTCCTCTGTTGTAAATGTTGATAAGCGGTTACATGATTATGTTTACCCCAGACGGGATGGCACCAAGGTGTGAACTCGTGGATGCCTTGCTTTCCCCGATCTCCTGAGCTGCCCGCCTCATCTTACATCACACACCAGGTGGGGAGGGCCTACAAGCAAGCGTCAGACTGCATTCTATCAGACTGTGAACTCGTGGACACTTAGGTTTTCCCGACCATCGCTCTCGTCTTTCAGTTTTGCACTCTAACTTCCTAGACAGACTGGCGCCCATGATCGTGGCCTGTGCGATTGCCTTTGCGTAATGTGGTCATCTGTTGAACCTGCCTTTCATTTTATTTTATTTTTGGTCGGTGTGGTCACAACACAATGATTTTTGATGCACCATGACATGAGCGGGGAACTCCATTTGAGATGGAAAGCAATACATTTTTGGTGTGTGGGGGGGGGGGGGGCATTGCTTGAAACCAACTGGTTCCCACCTGACACAGTACTTTTTCAAAAGCCCCACCCTCCACCCCCAAGCGAATAAAAAGGAAAAACTGACTTCTGAAAAGAACTTTTAGTGCCCAGGAGTCACGTCAGTTCTTTTAAAGTAAGGGAAGATCATTGTACAGGTTATGGGCCTGACCATGAGTTACTGTGGATTCTTCCCCCTCGCCATTCGGCTAAGTTCCCGGTTCGCCTAAGACCCTCATTTTCCTTGCTCCTGAGCACCGGGATCTTAGGTGGGGACTACTATGAAAGTAAAGGGGAAACAATGGCCTATTTCAACATTTTGCTGAAAACAATCTTTTTTAGCCTGATGATTTAAGTTTCGATAATTCCAAAAGTCGGTGTGGTAGTGAAAGAGTTAATTAGGTCTAGTAGGCCTTTAATAAATGACTTCATTTTTGTTATATATAATGGCACTGATTTTTTAAAAATGCATGGATATATAATATATTTCAGTTTTGAAAGCTGTGGAGACGATTGGAATCACGCATCAAAAGGGAACTCCGAAATACCTTGAGCTGTTGACGAAAGAAATCTCTGCTACCAAATTGAAGGACTCTATTCTTCAGAAGCGGAAATTGCCACCAGTATGTGTGTTTGTGAAATGTTTTTTGTAATTGTTAACTGCTTTGTAAAACTTTCAAATAAGTTTGCAGAATGTGGTACCCATTGGACCCTTTTCTGTCTTTCTAGGGATGGAATGTTGTATGTTTGTTCTTTTTTTTTGGGGGGGGGGGAGGGGGGGGGCATATTTTTTTTAAGTTAAAATTTTGGAAGGCAGGTGCATAAAAAACACTGTAAATATACTGCAATTCTAATTACCTATTGTGATTGAAATTTTGGCAACTCGTAGTCATGGGGTTTGGGATATCTTTTAATTTTGTCTGTTTTTAACCTGTCTGGGTAAATTGTAGGTGATGTTGAGGAATAGTCTTGTTGACTTTGCTCGCTCTTTACTCTCTCATTGATGGTTCTCTTTTTCCTAGGGAGAGGAAGTTGAGAACAGAGTTCGGGATCACATTTCTCATTTTATTCTGAGATTGGCATATTGCAGATCGTAAGTATTTTCTATAATTTGAAAAGAAACATTTTCTTGAAAACTCACATTTTATTGTGTTGCAAAAACTTTTGTTTCATGCTTCAATGAATTTAGTAGCACCTCCTAATGTTAAAAATAAAAATCTGATATTCAGAGCTCATGATTTCAATTTGTCTTTCTTTTTTCTTTTTATTAGAAAAGTGAATTAACTGATCAAAGTTCTACTTATGTGGAAAGGATAGATTCATTTTTCACCCTCTTTTGAGGGTAAATGAAGGACAAGACTCCTTGAAAGTGGTCCCTTTTACTCTTTGCTGTTGTTTTTTTAATGCATAGGGAGATATATCCCCCTCACTCACTTCCTCCGTAGTTTATTTTGCCCTGATTTCTTTGCTCCATTTCAGAGAAGACCTGAGAAGATGGTTCCTCACTCAAGAATTAGACTTGTTCAGATTTCGGTTCCAGGAGGAAAATACAGAGAGTAAGGCCAGGTTTCTAAAGTGTGCAGGACTGAAGTACAAACCAGTGAGTGTTTTTCTTGAAATCAAATTAAGATTTGAGGGTCTTGCTTTGCACTCTGATAATATCTTTTTTTCTGAACAAGAGTGTTTGATAATGCCAATCTGTACTCATGTAGATATTAGGGAATACATATATATGTGTTACGTGTCTATGAAAATTGATACATATTCATAAGCAGTTTTTCTGCAGTGGTAAATTATCAGAAATGGAGAAATATATAGTGCTATTTTCGTTGTGGATGCTTTTCTTTCTTTTTTTAAAACTGTTCAATGATTAGTACTTACAAACAGCGACTTTAATTACTGTTAGAAGAAAGATTGGCTGGAGTTAACGTGCCACATGCTACTGATATAAAAACATATAAACAACAATTCTGTTGAATTTATTCCCAGGTTTCTACAGAAGAACGGGACTCAGTTGTCAAAGAGCTGGATGGTACAGATCACTTGACAAACACCACAGACCTTGAATATTATAAGGTGCGTTTCTGGATAAGAAAATGTTTATATTTGTCCTATTTTGTCACCTCAGTTTATTTTTTTGCGCATGTGTGGGCAGTGGATATAGATGTATTTGTTCAAGTTTTATACCCTCATCCACACCATTTAAGTCATTTAAAAAAGCTGCTTCAACTCTGCCTGTCAGGGCCAATTCGGGCTGAGAAGGATACATCTCAGCAGAAAAATGGAGATGCTCAGTAAAAATTTTCCCCCACAGAAATCTAACTCACCACAGATGCTATGTCGATTAATGTGTACTTAATAGGGATGAACAATAATAAGTAATAAAAATAGCATTTGTATAGCACATATCCTGCTCGACAGAAAGCTCTATACGCTTTACACTATATTATTTATATTATTACCTCAGCAGACCATAGAACACTCTGAAACATTCTCAGCTTCCCGGTAAGCAGGTGATAAAGCGCTCAAACACTAACAAACTGACAAAATCTTTCACTGTCTATAGCTGGGTACCCATTCCCACCTGGGTGAAGTGAGAAAAATTTGTGTAAAGTGCCTTTACCAAGGACACAATGCTAGGCCCCTTATGGAATTCGAACCCAAGGCTGTACGGTTGCGAGTCTGAAAGTCTAACCACTGGGCCACCGATGCCACAAGGACAAGGAAGTAGCTTATAGGCAGAGGAAGTACCTTGGGCAAGTCAAATGTTCTGGCCTATACCTAGTTGGTGTGAACTCTGGACCCTTAAGATTTTTGTGGCTGTCTTAGACTCAGAGCACTGTGTATGAAATGTCACTGACCATGAGGTAAAGAATGTAAAAGATCTGATTAAGATACCCTTGATCATGCCTTCAGGTATCAGAGAATCTGTAGACGGACAAGGCTCGTTTTCTTGGTTCAACAAATCTCTTTGTCTCAGTTTTTTCTTGAATTAAGGTTCACTTCAAATTCAAAAGCCAAAATCAGATTTGGTTGTAGTTTGAGTTTGATTGCAGCTCTGACTATAATTTTTTTAATTTGATATTTCAAATCTGTATTCTGTGTTACTCTTTCTTGTGAAAGTGAATTTGATATTTCATCCATAGAGAAATAGTAAAAACATTTTCTTACAATACATTGTTTGATGTTAGGTTAATTTCAATTACAAGTTTAACAACCCCTCTTTCAGGTACCTTTTACGGAAGCTCTTGATTTGGTGCGAGGGAGAAAAGTGTTCTTGCGAGCTGGATTTGCTTACGTTCCAAGAGATGACTTGGTTTCCATTCTCCTCTCAGTGTTTAGAGTTCAGCTCTCGCATGCCTTAGCGGTACGTGAAATGTTCATTATAATTTGTACAGTAAAACTTGTGTAAGGGGAAGCCTTTTTACTTCTGTGAATGGTAGACACTTCAGAGATGTAGAGTAATTTATGGAGTAGTAAGATGAGCAAAAGTCTCTGAATTATAAGATCAATGTACAAGAAGCCATGGAATCATTTTTCTGCCATTTTTTTCCTCATAGTTGGAGTGACTCACTCATCTCATTGGCCCTCTGCCTGTATGTTTGTGTTAGAAAGAAAAGAGGAGAACGAAATACTCATTGTGTATTGTTTCTGTTTTTACCCCATTTTTAAGCTGTCAGCAGTTGTGAGAAAAACTACTCATGTGGATAAAGTTGTTTTTTTACCTGATATATAATATATATACAGTGGAGTTTGCTTGAATTGAAATCTGTGAGGCGGATGGATTTTCTTCGGTTTAGCCTCGTCTTAGTTTAGATAGAGAGATGGCTCAAATGTCAAAGAATAAAAACCAGGGGTTCTATTGATGTCTTTCGGTTTACCACTGTTTTCAGATTAACCATGTTCAGTTTAAGCGGACCCCATGTACGTCAATCCTTTGCCCCTGATCCTGTGTTTTCTTGCAGATTACGGCGCGGGCACTGCCGGGCATGGAGGAAGATGGACGCCTGTTGCCCATGCTGTGTGGCCTCAGTAAAAGGTACCTGGGTCAGGACTACAGCGTCAAGAAACAGAACGTTGGTGTTGTTACTGCTGATATGATTGATATGGTATGCACTAAGATATAAAGAGTTTAATTGTTGATAAAATAAGATAAAATAAATCTATATTGTCCAGATGTTGGCACTTTGGTTTTGTATTTCACCACACACATGAGCATGTGCATGCACACCCATATACTCATCTTCTCTTCTTCGCACTTACAAAATATGTTTATATTCACAGACCCACAGTAAGAAGTATAAGATATAAATGAACAGTTATTAGTTATAATGTAGGCCTATAAGCTGAATACATAGTCAGTATTCTGATATGATGGCATTCTGATATTACATGCTTTTGAGGTCATAGAAATGCTATTTTGCAAAATGATTGAGGAAGGAGATTAATGGATGATGATAAGAATGACTTTCTTTAGGTCTTTTACTTTACAATTATGCAATTGTTGGCTGAAAAATAAAGGTCAAGTGATAAGTTGCAGTCTCTATTCCTTTCTTTGAAAGGCTTACACTTTGTTGGCCAGCCCATTGTTTCTAATTTATTGTAATATCAAATTTGGTGAGTATAGATTCAGTCCAGAAATGGAAATTTAGTTTGGTAAATGAAATTGACTCCTAGAAGCCAGTTCACAGTTTTCGTTCCCAAAGGAATGATGATATAGTCTTTTATAATTATTTGTATATATATGTATTTTATGTTCTTGTGAAACTACCAATTTTGTTGTCATTTGCTATCATCATGACTGCAGAACTAATAATTTTGTTTCTCGTTCCTGATGTCCCCAGCTGTCGAAGAAGTCGTTCCCCCTGTGCATGCAGAATGTCCATGTCCATCTCAAACAGAGCCACCATCTTCGCCACGGCAGCAGACTTCAGTACGGCCTTTTCCTCAAGGGTATTGGCCTGTCCTTGGAAGAGGCTGTGAAATACTTCCGAATAGAATTTATGAAAAGCATGGACGTTGATACGGTGAGCATGAGGGAGGGAGAAGGGATATTAGGGCTGCTGTAGTTATTTGGCATAATCATAGATCATCTGTCAATGTCTGACAATGACCAATGTATCCGCTGAGGAGAATATCTCTTAAATGAAATGGAAAAATTAAAGGTTAAGATGACTTGTGGCTTCTGCTAAGGCTAATGAGACCAATTCTAGTGCAGAAAAGTTTCCCACATTTCGAGCTTGTAAAAGATTCATTTGCACTTGTGGATGTGCACAGCTTGAGAGTTTTTCTCTTGGCTTCAGTATTTCTTATTTTTAAATATTCACATTTGATGTATAATAGTCTCACTATTGTCAAAGTCCCTAGTTTTGTTGCTGTCTGGTTACTCTTAACTTTACCTGAGTGTCTTTCGTTTTTCCAGTTTGACAAGAAATATTCCTATGGTATACGGTACAACTACGGCAAAGAGGGCAAGAAGACGGACTACACACCGTTTGGCTGTATGAAAATCATCATGAACAACCCACCTGCCACTGGGGACTCACATGGTATACAAAACACCTTGCTCTTTCTGTCTTATGGTTCATAAGTTTACATGCAGTTTTCTATCAGTTATTATCTTGGACAGTCACTGTCATATTTCGTTTGTTTGTTGTTGTTTTGTTTTTTGGGGGGAGGGGTAGCCATTTGTACACATGATTGTCTGTGACAGGTAGCCATTGGAGCATGGTCAACTGTTTGTTTGATTATTATTATTATTATTGTTGTTGTTGTCTTAGGCTGCAAAACAAAACTGCAGTCTTCTTTGGCCTATTTGTAAATCATTTTGGGGGTTTTCATCAGAGATGTGTGTTTTCCATTTGAAACTTGATGCTCCATTCCACAAATTGTTTTATTGTCGCCCTCTAGTCCTTACATTGTAACTGTACTCTCTCTCTCTCTTTCTCTTTCAGGTTGTCCTTTCCGTCATTTTGACACAGATTTGCTGAAACAAAGAATATCTTCACAAGGTTTGACGAAAGAGGGAGTTGAGACGGTATGTATCAATATATGTACTGGTGCATTTCTTTGTTTGTTTTTTGTTGCAAACTTACAAACTCGTAAATTCTGTGATTAGTGTAAGATTTTTGGTAAGTTTCCCCCCTTCCCATTTGAACTGCTTGGTTTAGTGCTTAGGTTTAGGGTTGCAGATATGTCTTACAAGAACAGGAAACAGCAGGGTGTGATCGTTGTGATCCATGAGGATGTGGAGGGTTATACTTTAGCCTACTTTTACTAGTTTCTCTATACAGTGGAAACCATATATAACAGGCCCGGTAATAACAGGGATTTTTTAAATCCCCGTTTTTTCCTACTCTTTGTCTTTATTAGAAGTTATCGACAATAACAGGGCCTCATCGGAACCCAACCGGTTATAGCAGGGACAAATTCTCGTTACAACGTGTAAAAAGTAAGAGAGAGAGAGAGTAACGCAGTGATGGAGCAAGCCCACGCAAGCCATGCCACTGCAAGCACACGCAGCTTGTGAAGCGAGAGAGGGCTGCGGTGTGCTTCAGACCTCGATCTAGCCCGAAACTTAGCAACACACACGCGTAATGTGTCACCAACGATGTCAAGCTCACGAGAAAATGCCTTTCAATTGACAAAAAATATGAAATAATCCAGGCTGTTGACAAAAAGCAAGCTCCACTGGCAGAGATTTGTCGTCAGTTCGACATTCCACAAGGGTCGATTCACACCATTATCAAGGATAGAGAGAAGATAGTGGCACCATACTCCAATGGAAAGTTTGCTCTGGGTCGAAAGAAGATGAGACTACCAGATGCAGATGCTGTGGACCAAGCTTTTCTGATGTGAGGCAATGGAGAGAGTTGGTGCCAAAACCCCTGTTCGTGGGTACTTGTGGCAAAGGAAACTACCCGTGAATAAGTACAGCTGGATTAGTCCACAAATGCTCACTTTCCTTGCATTTCTGATTTAACAGGGATCGGATATAACAAGACATTTTCTCTACTCCCACCATCCCTGTTATATCAGGTTTCCACTGTTAATGGTAATGTTTTGAGCAACACTTTACAAATCTCTTTAACCTGTTCAATTCCTTGCAGAGTCCCACCCTGGGTCCTTCCTGAATCGAATTGGACGAAATGCTGTTGTGTTCTCGAAGAAATTCATTATAATCTGTAATTAATTGCTTTGTCAATAGAAATCGTACACTACACTTTAGCGCACACATAATGAAATCGGCGGGATGTACTAATTTTGAGTACAAAGAAAAACATCATGTATAAAAATAATTCAGAACCTGAAAATATGTTCGTAGTGTACATTCTAGACTATACAATTTTAACTAAAATATGGTTATGGCACAAGGTAAGCTTGTTTTTATTCTTCCAAGTGTAGTCATAAATAAGCCATAGATCAGCCATTATGATTTCACAGCTAATTTGATATTAAACTAATTTTGTGTAGCAGAGTTTTAACCCTTTCCTCTTCTGCTTGACTCAGGTGATGAAGTATACCAAAGGCGGTCACTGTCAGGTGGCTTGTGCCAAATACTTTGAGCTGACTCATGGGATCAGTGACAGCGGCACAGAGGTGGAGATGGTTATACAGCACCCGAACCAGTACTTTGAGCGCAGTCAGAAGTTGCTCAATGGTAAGTCGAGAGAAATACAGTTGAACCTTCTCTAACAGCTATCTGTAAAAAGAAGAAAAAAAAGAATCACCTGTACAAATAGCCATTTCCCATTCATACACACCCTCACCCCTTGCTTTTGTTTTACATGATAATAGTGACATTGGGAAAGAAGTACAACCGTCTAAAGCAAATACTTTTCTGCTAGACTATGGGTAGCTGCCTTAGACAATTTTTAAGGAACAGTCCAGGTCTTATGAGTGGTTGGAGGGTGCCACTAATAGTTCTACTTTACTTCATTGAAACAGTAAACAGCATTTTAACGAGTACTCTAAACGCAGCCGAAAATTACTCAATGGTAGGTTAAGTCAGGTCCATCGACATACCATCATGTTTTCTGTTTCACCAGCTGTGAACTGACAACTCCTGCACACCCAAACATGATCTGGGGGGCCCTCGTGGCCTAGAGGTTATGGTGTTCACCTCTCATTCAATAGGCATTAATAGTTGTAAAGCGCATAGAGCATGCTCTTGAGCATGGATATGCTCCATATAAATGCAATAATTATTATTATTATTAATAGGCCCCGGATAGTGATGGAAATTTTTCTTCTCTAAATTGACTCCTTTCACCTCCTTTCCTTCTCTATAACAATGTTCTGTCGTCTGCTTTCGCCTCCACCTCCACTTTCTGCCCCCACCCCCTCACCTCCTTTCCCCCCTCCTCTGGGCTCCTGACTCTTTCTACAACCTTTCTACTGCTACTCCTTGGCTCCTCCTTACTGCCGTCTTTCAGCCACACCCCTGATCTTGTGGTAGGAAAGATTTACACCTAGCCTTCTCGAACAAGGGCGAAAAATCTTGGAGGTCCCGTGTGAAAGTTGTACACGTTCAAGATCCCTTGGTGGCCCAAAATCGACAAGAGTAGGCCTCGGCCGCCACCCGGACAAAATTCAAAATTTCCTACCAACTGAAAATGTTTAAATGTGTCCCCCACGCTCAGATGACCTTAAATGCAGTTGCGAGCGCCGTAAAAACTTACCCTAACCCCACCCCCAAAAAATCCCCCGTGATCTCATATTCATACCAGTTGCAGACTGATGTGAAATCAAGAAAATCATTAATACGGTACTGGATTTTCTCCTGCCTAGTTTATGCTTGGAAATCTTTCTTACAGAATGAAAAAAAAATGTTTACCGTTTCTGGAGCTTTATTTTCACTACAGTGTCTTTAGAAGCCATTGCATTCTCTCAAAATCTCGCATAATGGAAATCGGTGTATGTTTCACTATGTCGAGAAGAGGAAAGTGACTCAAAGCTGATAATGTTATTGGGCTGTTGGTAAATAATACTTTTTGCCTTTGTTAAATCTCACCGACGATGTGCTTCTCTTTACTCACACTAAATGACCTTTATTGTGTCAATACACTTCTTTTTACTCTGGCTAAAGTAAACGACCATTATTAATTTGATGTGTTCTTCTTTCCTCAAATCTCACTACTGCTGGTGTGACATGATGGTGATTTCCTTGTATTTTTAAGGTCCAGCAAAGCCTTCATCGACACCTAGAACTGTGAAAATTGTCAGCTCACAGTCCAGCACACCGGGTTCATCTGGCGGCAGTGCAGTTGTCGTGAAATCGGAGCCAATAGATGAAGACATGGACGATGATATGGGGTTCTCTGCGACAGAGCTGGCGTCATTAGATGAGATGGCTGCGGCGTGATGTGAAAATGTGCAAAGTTGTTTATTTATGACTAGTTTACGTCAACTCGTGTGTAATATTTCCTGTTAATTATTTGGTAATTTTTTTAATTGACAAAGCCTGATTTGTAACAAATTCTCCTTTTATTTTGTATGTCATGGATTGAAAATAAGAGGCACAACATCCGAGTTGTTTGCATAGGACATTCAATTTAGATGAAAGTGAGGTCTGACAAATTGACAAATTTCTAGCTATTTCATTGGGTCCGAGATTGCTGGTGTAAGGTATGTAGTTTATTTACCTTGAATTGTTGCTATTGTTGTTATCCATCCAGCAACAAACTTGATTTAAGAAACAGAAATTTCTATTCTTGAAGGTGAGTTCAAGGTTTTGTTGAGTTCGGTATCGAGGAATGCGTGGTTTACAATATTTTGTAAAATGTATATGTTTTATTTACAATCTGTTTATATGTTCTGTATGAAGTTTCTTCACATTTATTAGTCAGTCAGTGAGTGGTTCTGGAAAAGAATGGAAAATAGTTATAAGCGTCTGTCTTTGTACTGTACATGATATATTCATGTCTGGGCGAATTTGAATTTGACATTTCAAGATTAAGAATCTTTGTCACCATCATCAACTTAACCCTCACTGCTTTTGTTACACATGTTTATGTTTACAGACTGATGAATACGTGATACACAACTTTATTAAATATTTCCTGTTAGGAGCTCATGACATGACTCTTTGGGACAGCGTTATTTTAATCAAGCTTTTGTTGTCTCAATTATAATATATTGGAGTAAATTCAACTGTTGCAATTCTAGTTGATGGATAGAAAAGGTTTTTCACCCCAACCTCCTCCCCACCTGGCACAGTTTAAATCTTTTGAGAGGCAGGCTGCTTTGTCCCTGGCTGTGATAGGTGTGTGTCAGCAGAAAGACAGAGATTTGATAATGACTTCTCGACTGTGTAGTCGAACTTTGGTCTTGTGCATGCTAGGCAAAGAGCATAATCTGTATTCTGTAAACACCAATTATGTTGATTGTGGATAAATGAAAATGTAGATATCATTTCATACTAAAAGGAGGGATAATTATGATGGGTGGGTTGACAAAACAGGGTTAGAGAATAAAGTGGTGGTTGCTATCGAGTGAGAGTAGTACTCATACAGTATCCCAGCTGACAGACAAGTTATCTGCCTATTCCACCCTGGTACTGGGTATAGAAGGCTCGCCTCCTGTCTCTGTTCAAGGCCTTGTCTTGTCACATTGTGGACTGGCTTCCTAAGCTGGTGCTCTGGTGTGGTTTGATCTGTTTGATCTTTATTTCTTATCAAACATCTCTTGTCCTGATCTCTCCTTCTTTTATGTGTTTGTTATGTTACTCTTGTAACACCTAATCTTCGGCACTTATATGACCTTACTGTGTTGCAAATGCCGTAAAACTCTCACTAAAACTAAACTTCCTTAGCCTGTGCCCAGTCCTGAGTCCGCCATCATCTTCTTTTCTTGTTACATTGCCACTGTTATTACTACATTGTTGTTGTTACCACAGCAGAAGTTCAGTCTAGAATGCACACATAATAGAACACGCACATAGCAAACAGATTTTCAGGTCATGTATTTTTACTTAACATTGTATTTTTTTGTAATTTTAAAACACATACATACCGAAATTCGTAAAAAACTAAAAGATCTCCATGTCCTGCAGAGTTTGCTACGTGTATAGATCTATGCATGCTAGACTGTAATATGGTACTTGTTTACATGATATACCTGCACTGCACGTTGTTGTAAGTTTGTAAATAAATTTGAGATCATCTCCAGGCTGATGAAAAATAAAACTGTCACCGACTGAGAACCAACTGCACGCTTTCAGAGTTTACTTATTACTTTTACTTTTGAGTTTTGTGTGCCACATTTCATTAACAATCACAAATGACAGTGAAAATAGAATAGAAGCAACAGAAATATGGTTTCTTAGGAGACTGCTGAGAATATCTTGGAAAGAAAAGGAATCAAATGAGGTACATGTTGTACTTGAAGCCCACATGGGCTGCTCGCTGATAAAATCAATCAGGAAAAAAGATAAATTATGCAGTTTTTGGAGACACCTGAAAAGACATCTTGAACATCTAGCTCTCATTGGCAAAAGTGAATGCAAACGAGGCAGAGGTAGGCCCATAGTGACCTACTTGGAGAACCTACACAGATGGTTGACGGGGAAAGATCCGGGTATAGATTTTTAAAGAGCATCCGAGCAAAGGAATGAATGGATAACCATCGTCAATGTCTGTCACAGATCTGGTACTTGATGATGATGATTTATGCGTGGTTGGCAGGTGTTCTGATTTGGTTTGCTCGTTCTTTCTTATCAATCATATATTTAGATTAGATTATCTTCCTTCTCTCCTTCTTTTCGTTCCATGTAAAACATTGTGGGTGGTTGGCGGGTGCTGTGGTATGGTCTGCTCCTTCTTCCTACATATATATCAAACATTTGTCGCCACCTTTATGACCAGTCCTTTTTTCTGTGTTTGTTGCTCTCTTGTCTCTAATCTTTGGCACTTATACCTGTTTGTGTTGAAATGTCCTAAAATTCTCACTAAAACTAAAGAATCACATATTTCAGGTGAAATTTAGGCTTCATTTTCCGTTCTTTTCTCCCCTTTACATCTCTACTGCATTGCCACTTTTCACAACCTGGCTGTCATTCTCAGATGAAAATAAGCCTACATATGAGTAAATTTAAACTCCCAAAGGGGGGGACATTTCTCGTTCTAATGCACAGTAAAATTGTAAATGGGCTGATCCAACAATGTCATGCTCATAACTGCCTAACAACAGGAAACTGCTGCTTTTTCTTTCCTAATCCTTACTAACTATCGTCATTTTTCTCTACTTCTTTTGTGTTTGTCACACTCTTTTGACCCGCTATTTCCGGGGTGCCTTGATAGTCGAAGCAGACTTTGTGCTTTTGAAGCTAGAGAGGTGAGCAGAGTAAGTCTGATTCCCATAAGGACTTTCTGTTGAGATCCACCCCTTGGCGCTCATAAGACCTTTAGCTGTTGCGAGCGCCGTAAAACCTCTACTTAAACTAAACTAAATTTAAACTCCTTTGCTCTGGGTGCTTTTAATTGCCGTCAAACGCGCAAGTAGCCTACTAAACTATGTAAAGTTGAAGTGCAAAGAGTCCTGCCCTGTCCTCTTTGAACTGCTTGCTTTATGAGTGAGCAAAGAAAAGGGCCACGATTATGGAGTTGCAGATATGTTTTGTTTTTTAAAAATAAAACAGGACGGCATGCTGAGATGATGGTGTTAGCGAAATAAATATAGGGAGGGGTTACCTATATATATTATACTTTACTTTTAAAAATAAATAAATAAATACAATTATTTTTTTTTTTTAAATTTAATAAAAAATATATGAATAAGACAAACTACAGGTAAATTAATAAATGAATGAACGAATAAATAAATAAAGATGAAAAAGAGGAGTGCTACGTACACTACATTGTGACACATCGTTGTATTGTTGTACTGTATAGTGCCCCTTCCATCAGTTTCAAACGAATTGAGTGAGTGGTTGGAGGGTGCCGCTGGTAAATCCTACTTCTTTACTGCCCCTCCGTTGCTTCTAGCTGTCTGTCTTACCTTTTCCCAGGACAAAATGAAATGACAATTATTGCGTCGATGTGCTTCTCTTTACTCAGACAAAACGAACAAACGAATTAGTAATTTTATGGCCTATACTTTTCTGACACCAACATATACGGAAACTATCGTGCTATAAGACAGAGTTATATTTACAGTTCAATCATCACACCGAAAAGATAATGTAAATTATAATATATTGTGACGGAGAAAGATCTGCGCCAAAGATTCCACAGTCTACAAGATGGTCAAAGTCAAAGATCCTGCCCTACAAAAATTAAATGGTTGGGGGGGAAAAAGCGCCGGCGGGCCGTGTGTATATATATATATATATATATATATATATATATATATATATATATATATATATATATATATAATATATGCGCTCATTCTCAGGGGACGCCACTCACTTCGGTTTTGAGAACACTTTTTAAAAAATATGACTCGATGAGTTGACAATAAGCGGAGTGGAACATCTTAAGTAGTAGGCCAAGGGCAGGATCTTTGTCTGCGTCCATGGCGGAAACGATTTTAATAATAGGCTAGAGATAATAGCCATTGCATTTGTATAGCTCAAATCCCCGCCCAGCAGCAAGCTCTATACTCTGTGACTCTATGCGCTTCACATTCTATACTATTTTTTGAAAAATGTGGCAGTGGCACAGGTTTCTTGATCCAAACCGTCGAAGTATAATTTACCCTTTCACACACACACACACACACACACACACACACACACACACACACACACACACACACACACACACACACACACACACACACACACACACACACACATTATAATAATATAATAATAAGTATATAATACAATAACGCAACGTTTTCAAAAAGTTATAAAAAAGCCAAATATGCTCTGATCGTCATTCATTGTGTGTAGGCCTACCTGAATTATACCGACACCTTAATCAAAACATCCCCTATCTCAAGCCCCCCCCCCCAAAAAAAAAAACAACAAAAAACCAACCCCACCATTCCCAACCCTTCATCAACGGCTTCGTCTTTCATCCTCATCCCCCAGCCTTTGTTCATAATAGTACGCACATTATTTTGAGGTTCCTGTACTAATCGTCATGCTCATAAGATAAATCATTTTTAGCCATTTTGAGTTAGTGTTTTTTTTGGGTCGATTTAGTTTTTTAGTTTTTTTTGCAGCACATTTAGTGGTTTTTGTTTTGATTTGTTTTACTTACAACAATCATATAAAATCGATTAAATAATTTTGTCAATATTTTGTTAAACGTTATAAACCAAAAATAAATAAATAAATGCGAAAATGATGACAATAGTCAATTGCTATATATTCAACTATAGTCCAAGAACAGCCTAAAATCTGGCCTGTCTAAAGATTATCAAGAATCATAGATGTTCAATAGGCCTATATATTATGAATATGTTTGACAGGTCAGAAATAAAGAACCAGCTATTACAGTAAAAAAAAAAAAGAAGGAATAAATAATATGTAATATAAGGAAGAACAGTCTAAAACATTTTTAGTTTTTTTTTCGTCCCCATTTAGTGGAATTTTTTTTCCGAATTTAGTAGTCTCTTAAAAATCTGGATGGCAACACTGACCAGCCAAAGATAGTACAAGACAAGATGGGTCACTCAGCCTAAAAAGTGTCCGCAGGAAGTATGCTCTTTGCTTCAGATGGCGCTGCAGTCTGTTTTGAAGCTCTCTTTCGTTTTTCCAGAAGAAGAATAGGAATAGCACCTCCTTGCGTGCGCAGATCGACTGCTGTTCATCAGCAGTTCGGGTACGTTCAGTGCGGAGTTTTAGTTGTTTTTTTTTTTTAATGACCTCTCGCCCTTCATTCTAAAGTCAAATTAAATGAAGAAAACCATCTCCTTTTCCTCCGGAAGAGGTTTTTTGTCAGCGTAACCATTTTTAAAAAGCGTTCTTCCGAAATTTATCCCAAAACTTGCTAGTTTCACTTCGATTTTTTAAAACTCAAGTAGGGTAACTCTGTTCGCAAAAAGTGCGCTTTTGCGAAGAGGGCGCCACCAAATTTTGAGGACACTTTTTTAATTGGCTCAAAGAGAGAAGTGGCCCATCTTGTCTTGTACTATCTTTGGACCAGCCCAGCATCTGCACATGTTGTTCTGTTTACAACAAGATGGCGGCTCCCGTCTCGGAGAAGACAGTTAAGTTGGGCTTTTTGGAAGAGATAGACTCTCAACTGTTGAAGAGTCACTTTTTTCCGAGCAAAGTTGGTGGTAGACCAGCATGGCTATCTCTGGATCAGTTACCGGACCCTTCTAGTCTACAGTGCTCAGAATGTAATGGAGTCACACGATTTCTTATGCAGGTCTACGCACCACTCCAGTCGAGAGATGACACATTTCATCGGACTTTGTTCGTTTTCATATGCCCAAATCCTCCTTGCTCATCAAAGAGTGTTACGAAGAGTTTCAAAGTGATCAGGTCTCAGTTGCCACTTCTCAATGACTTTTACAGCAAAGAGCCGCCCTCAGAAGAAATTCCTGAGGATTTCGATTCAGAACAGTATCCCCATGCAGGGAAGTTTCACCCTCTGTGTAAAGTGTGTGGTGTGAAGGGACCCAAGAAATGTTCTCAATGCAAGAAGGCCAGCTATTGCAGCAAAAGTCACCAAGTCATTGACTGGAAAACAGGACATAAAAAAGAATGTTGCAAAGAGAACAAGAAAAAAACTGGTACGTCTTTAATTTTAGCTTGGCTATTTTGCCCCAAAATTGCTTCACATTTTAACTCATGTTAAAACTACATTCTAGCAAGGCCACTTCTATTCTCACCCCGGGCGCAGGCGAGTCTTTTGGCTATTCTCACCCGGTGGGCGTTCACCGTTATAGCCTAGGCCAACCAGTGAAGCGTTCACCCTGAACCACAGAATTCTACACTGTGATAACAGAATTATAGAATTCTGTGCTGTGAACAAACGTTCTAGTAGATCTATTACTACTGTTAGTGTTAGCCTAAAGGAAGTGGCTATTCTCATCCGGGGTGAGAATAGAAAAACGATCTACCTCTCACCCCGGGTGAGACTTGCCAACGAGGCTATTCTCACCCGGTGCGAAACAAGACCTGCTTTTCCTCATTTTGGAATACTGTCTTCTATTGGTGTGGATGATCAATGATAAACGAAGTATATACAGACCCGGTAACCGGGAACAAAGTCACGAAGTATACAGACCCGGTAGGGGAACTCTTTTGTGTTTTCGGGAAGTTTCAGCGCTCAGACCCGGTAGAAATCTAGTGTGTGTGTGTGTGAGAGAGAGAGAGAGGGTGCTAGCAAAATGTAATAACATGCCCCAGTTGGCAGGAGGGAACGAGAGAAAGTGAAAGATAGAGTGTGAAATAGGTGGGGACAAAGGAAGACAGATACAAACAAAGAAAAAGAGAAGGCGATCGATACAGAGAGAGAGAGATCGAGAGAGAGAGAAATAGAGAGGGTGACTGCTCGATTGAAATGATGACATTGTTCTTTTCTTCAAATTGCGACTTGCGATTCCTCCAACTCCAAAACGGAGGAAAAACGATTTTTTCATCGAAAAGACATCCGCAATCTTCATTTAGATCTAGATCTAGGCTAGCCGCGAAACTAGATTAAAGATTTATGTCTGTCTGCCTAGATCTAGATCTAGACCTAGGCCACAGATCTAGAAGTGTAGAAGAACCTAGGTCTACCCTGAGCCAAGAGGGCGCAGAAACTCTCTGAAATCACAAAAGAGTTCCCCTACCGGGTCTGTATACTTTGTGACTTTGTTCCCGGTTACCGGGTCTGTATACATTGATAAAAGCCAAGAAAAAATTACGTTATAGCACAAAAGTAAGCTAATCTGATCGTCTTCAAAGATGCTATGGCTATTTCACTATTTGAATCGAGCCGAACTACGTGGGTCGCCATTTTGTTTTGCCCGGAAGTTCTCGCAAGATCTACTCCTCCTCCCTCTCTCTCTCTTTCTGAATACTGTCTATCGGTGTGGACGATCAAATTGACCAAAACAAAGTTAAAAAATGATGTTAAAACACAAAAGTAAATTAATTTGGTTGTCTACAAAGATGCTACGGCTATTGACTTTTCGAATCGAGCCGAACTACGCGGGTCGCCATTTTGTTTTGACCGGAAGTTCTCGCACTACTACTCTCTCTCTCTCTCTTTCTCTATCTCCACTGCCCACAGACAAAATTGTACGCTTTTAGTAGGCTACAGTTGTAATGGAACGTTTGTTCACGGCACAGAATTCTACAATTTTTCTGTAAATCACAGTGTAGAATTCTGTGGTTTAGGGTGAACGCAAAATTTGTTGGCCTAGATCTAGGCTATAACGGTGAACGCGCACCCTAAAAGTGTGCAATTTTGTCTGTGGGCAGTGGAAAGAGAGAGAGAGGAGTAGCGCGAGAACTTTCGGGCAAAACAAAATGGCGACCCGCGTAGTTCGGCTCGATTCGGAAAGTTAAATAGCCGTAGCATCTTTGTAGACAACCAAATAAATTTAAATTTCTAGTTTTGTTTTTTAACATAATTTTTAAACTTTGTTTTGGTCAATTTGATCGTCCACACCGATAGACGGTGTTCAGAAAGAGACAGAGGGGAGGAGTAGATCTTGCGAGAACTTCCGGGCAAAACAAAATGGCGACCCGCGTAGTTCGGCTCGATTCGAAAAGTGAAATAGCCATAGCATCTTTGAAGACGATCAAATTAGCTTACTTTTGTGCTATTTTATAACGTAATTTTTCTTGGCTTTTATCAATTTGATCATCCACACCGATAGACAGTACTCCAAAATGAGAAAAAACAGGTCTTGTTTCACACCGGGTGAGAATAGCCTACGCTGGCAAGTCTCACTCGGGGTGAGAGGTGGTAGATCGTATTTTTATTCTCACCCCGGGTATTCCTTCTAGTAAAGCTGATGATCCCAATAGTCGCTGTGTGTTGCCGTTGGAGGATTTGATTAAAGATTAGATCAGAGATGCCAACCAGTACGATTTTACGTAGTTTAGTACGATTTTTGGCCGAAAATACACGAATACGACTTTTCATGAAAAAATACGCATCCTGGAATGCGAAAAACTACGAGATTCAGCTTGGGCGAGTAAACTTAATTATCTCAGGTCCCATCTTTTGTCTAAATATTATCAGTATCACAGAACTGGAATATTTGAAAACCAAGTCCGATGTGGTCAGTATTGCCGGTCGCGATCGTGATATTATATTCGTTCATCTTTTCCCCGCCTGGAGAGTACGTTTCACTTTCACGCGAAAAGGCAGCTATGGCGGCAGGCGGAAGCGTATGTGACACCGAGGCTCGATCGGGAAAATCAAGATCTACTTTCGCTTTCGTTACCACCGAGAAGTTTGCCAGCAGTTGTCTGATAACGCAACATTTGTGGCATGCAGGTTGTGCAGTATAAACACAATGTCGCCGTTCAAATAAAATGTAATAAATACTCTGACTCGTCGCTGTGCTGTCACTTTTGGAGAAAAAAACAGAAAAGAAAATACAAGCGTCGTCCGATTTTTAGATTGTCTGGCTCGCCATCGTGACCGGTCACTGAACCTGTGCGCATTCGCATCACAAATAAATGCGGCATCGTGTGAGCAAAGACCGTCTTTGTGGGAGTAACGGCCTTGCGAAGTATATGACTACGGAATAGGGGATGAGATAATTGATTTTTTTTGGGTTTAAGATACTATCGGGGGTTTAAGGCAACACCAGAGGACAAAAACTTGGAAGCACTTTTCAGAATTTTGATAAGAGCTTTCTGCAAAGCGCACGTTGGTGCAGGCCATGTGCGGAATCGGGACCCCTCATACTTTGCAAGTCTGTGTTATTGAAATAAAGTGTTCGCGTTTCATTGGATGTGTGTTATTGAAATAAAGTGTTCGCGTTTCATTGGATTGGTGATAGTAAATTATACCTACAGTGGATTGGTGATAGTAAATTATACCTACAGTGTATGTTGTAGCTTTCTGTTCAAGATTGGCAGATTTTCAGTGCCAGTGCATGGGTCTACTTGAGCCATTCGAGTTATTGCCTTTCTCTGAGTTTGAGCAATAATTTGAGTCTGTCAGTTCATAATATGAATCATGACACCCAGACTGGTTCTTGATAGTCGAAATTCTTGTTCTAGGCCCTTCCGAACCCTCAAAGCAGGATTTATTTTTTATATTATAATAATAATGAGAGGAAAATATTATATAATAGACTGAAATAATTAAGTCAAACAAGACCCCAGTACAACATTGAACACTGACATGTTGTTGACTGGGTATGTATGTATATTGTACGTGTGTGTGCTCCCTTTTCCGAGCTGGTGAGCTAGTAATTTTTTTTCAGGAAATATTGCTGGACACCCTGAACATTTTACTATTACTGGTTGGTCGACCATCAATGATTTATTTATAGAGGCACCAGCCATCCATGTCCAGGTGCTGTTTTAGCCTACTGGTTGGTCGGTCGTGGGGAATACACATTTTCACCTGAAAATACACATTTAAGCCTTTCTGGCCGCGGGTAGGTGTTTCTTTGTTTGTCACAGCCAAAATATGGTCCTTGTCTCATCACGAGAAGCTGGAGGAAGGGGGATGGGAAAGTGGTACTGACCGCACCACATGACTGGTTAGCCACACATGCAATCATGCTGTGGGACGTGCACGGTGCGGATGGCAAGAGGTGTAACTTTCTGTAAGCCAATGAAATGAGAGGAAAGGAATGACGTAGGAGTCGGCTGTGCACAAGTGAGATTTTTGTGCTTTCCTTTTTCATTCATCTTCTCGCTTTCACACTTGGACTGTCAGCACGTCCATCGAAGGGAGCTAACCGCGTTAATTGTTTCCATGTTCTTTTTTATTACCTCCCTTGATTTTCTCTCTATTTCTTTGTATGTTTGGGGCTTTCACAGACATGACAAATTACGGAAATATTGAACACTATTTCCAGTCCTAGACGAATTTGAGTTACCCATGTTTGACTGTGTGTATGAACTGGTTTTCAAAATTAAAAAAGTATTGTAAACTGCACACCCGTGTCTATCACATAAACAAATCAACATGCAAAATAATGATGTTAAGACATCTGTCTTTGCTGCACATATTCTATCGAACTGTGTGTGTTAATACCTAGTGCATACTACTTATCGAATTCAGCTGACAAGAGTCGTGCCAGCCAGATTTTTACTCCATGGAAGGGCAAAAGCTACTATTTTAGCACAATATAAACTTCTATTCAATTCACAACCATGAAAAATCACACGAAGGTCACATTCGAATTTAGTCTAATTTAGTTGAATTGTGCCAAAATAATAGCATTTTCCCATCCTTGGAGAAAAGTCTGGCTGGCCTTGACTTGGTCAAATGAAGTCAATTTGCAGTGTTCGTTTGGTATTACGATTTTGTTCCCCAGACGTATATCTGCAAAGTTAAGTTTTGATGCTGTCTTGTGTTTTTAATGTCTTTATGTATTTTTTTAACACTTACAATTCTTCAAATATTCCCCAAAAGTTTCAATTTTTAGACCAATTTTCCCATCATACAAATGTTTTCCTCTTCAACAGGCAGTGGTTCCCAAGCATATGAGTCAGAACTTTTCAAAGAGTTTGAGCTGGTCACAGAAGACGAAGTTTTGCCCGCAGAAAGCAACAACAACAACAGTAAAAGTGAAGAGGAATGTCTCCGAGAGTATGAGAGGCTAATGGAGTCTCAAAAGTTTCAAAGCTCTAATGAAGTATACCAGCTGGAGGAGCTGGAGAAAACAGCAAAAGGGGAAACAGAGGAGGATAAAGCCTACCTGAAATTCAAAGAGAGAGTGAGGACTGAGCCAAGTCAGGTAGAATTTTTTAGCTTAGAAGTTTAATAATGATTGATTATTTCCATTAGTGGTTGCTTTTACTTTTACTATAATTTATACAAGTCAAAGGCTATATTATGAGGGTGTCATCATAAAATTAGATTTGAAAAGAGGGAAATTGGGAAGTGGTCGTTTGTACTGGTGATTACCGTGGACAGCTGGTATTTAATGCAGGTTCGACTGTATCAGTTTGTCACAGTTCAAATTAGTGTGCCATATCAGAGTTCTGATGATGATTAAAATACAGGTGTATTGATTATTTTATTGGGCCTTGAGCATCTTTTTCTCACTGGTAAAGGTGAAGATAAACAAAGCATGGGTGGATCCAGAGCAACTTACTGGAAAGCTTGAACAGGTGGGTGATGTGATAGTTCATATTTCTTTTTTCCTCTTAGTTATTTGTATGTTTCTTGCATTTTCCAGTGGTAGGTTGGCAAGTGCTGTAGTATGATTTGCCCCTTCTAAAATTTCTTCCCTATCAAACATGCTGTCCTTTTGTCACTTTTGTTTGCATGTTGTTATCTGGTCCAGTAACATTTCTAGACTCTTCAGCACTTCTGTGACCTATTTGTGTTGCAAGTGCCACAAAACTCCTACTAAAACTAAAAGATCGCTGGCCGGATGTGCTTCCCTGTGTTCAAACAAGAATAATGTAAAGTTCTCTATTCCAACAGGTATTACGCTATTGTCGGACAGATGAACCTTTGTGGGTATCTCTCTACCAGAGGCCGGCTGCAGAGGATATTCCCAACTGTCCGTTGTGTGGGGCATCAAGAGTTTTTGAGTTTCAGGTGAGGATTATTGTTCGTGAAATTTTTGATGGACATCATAATACTCGCACCCATACCCACATCTACAACCATACACACACACATGTGCACACTCACACACCCACATATTGTGATATGTGTAATATATATGTGGCGTCGGTGGCCTAGTGGTTAGGCTCTCGGACTCGCAACCGTAAGGTCGTGGGTTCGAATCCCGTCAGGGTCCCGACATTGTGTCCTTGAGAAAGGCACTTTACACGAATTTTCCTCACTTCACCCAGGTGGGATGGGTACCCGGCTATAGACAGCGAAAGATTTTGTCAGTTTGTTAGTGTTTGAGTGCTTAATCAGCTGCTTGCACTGTATGCTTCCCGGAAAGCTGGGAATGTTTCGGATTGTTCTATGGTCTGCTGGGGTAATAATTATAGTGTAAAGCGCATCACAATATGTATACTCAAAATTGTCAAAAATGAAACCTGTTTTCAAGGAGGAAAGTGGTTGTCTTATGTAGACTAGACATCTTGGACACAGTGTTATTATATTATTAAAGAAAATGCAATGGGGGAAAGTAGGAAGTGGTTGTCTATACGGAGGTGATGGTCCTGGGCAATTGGCTGTTACAGCAGATTCAACTGTATATATGAGGGGCTAAGATTCAAAACCCCCGCTCCATCCATTATAGCACTTTTGAGAAAATCAGCTTTTTTTAATGCTGCCGCCATACGCACGAATATATGCGTAAAAAGATTTTTTGTGGCTTTTATGAAGTATTTGTTGGGTTTTGGCCGAAAACACATAGTGCAACTGATAGCCGCTAACAATGGGCATTTATAAGCAAAATATCTCAATTTTATTCCTGAATGTCGGTTATTGTGTTTTGCATCTCTCCCCCTCGTATATATGTATATATTATATATATATACTGTACCATTCATGTAGCCTGGGCTCTTGTAATTGTTTTAGAGCAAATAGGTTGGGTAACCCAGAGCATAATTTGTCTCAGTTTGTTTTTTTCTTCTGTGATGAAATCTTGCCTTTTGAATGATTTAAAGTGTTCAAGGGATGTGTGGTTGGAGGGTGTCTTTTGTAGTTTCTAGAGGGTGCGTCTAATAGGTTCTACTTCTGTTCTCTCCCTCTCGTGCTCTTTTTCAGCTCCAAATGATGACTGTTATATGAGTACTTCTTGTTGTGTTGATGTCAGGGCTGTGCATCATTCATAATTTATTTGAATGGATTTTTTTTTTTCAATTAGACGAAAATATGATTGATTCTGATTTTTAAAAATTAATTTGCAATTCGGCTACAATGGCCCACCCCATCCCTGAAGAAAGACCATCATACCCCGTTATAGTCTACATCACTACGCCACATGCAGCTAGTTTAACACCTTCTGTGCATAAAGCCATTACTTGTAGTCATTTTTCCCTCAGAAAAAAATTGAAAGCTCCACATTAGTTTTACAAGGTGTTAAAAAATTCTTACACTTTTGCATTATGGGTCATTATGAGCCTCAGTCATTTTTGGTAATTTTTTAAAGAAAACTTGAGAAAACTTATTCTTTCAGATGTCATTCTTATGATTTCCAAGTGAAAATGTCTCAATGATTAGATTTTTAGTTCAGAGTTCATGTGGATACAAAACAAGTAACGGGCGTCTTTGCCACAACTATAACTTATAACTACCGTGGAGTCTCCTTAAACTAAACGCGGTTATTGCGTAAACAATGGTACGCCAACAAAAAATTATATCCCCAATTATTTTTTCTCTTCTGTTCGAGCAACCTCTCTAAACCGAAAACCTGACTATATCAAAGAAAGTCAGGTGGTCCCAAAGATTTTGGTTGTAAAAAGCGAACTCCGTTGTAGAAATCTGGAAAACATGAGAACATTATGATATTCAATAAACATTATTATGAAAATTGTGATATTCAATAAACATTATTATGTCTCTTTCACAGATTATGCCACAGCTCCTGAACCACCTGGACCTGGACCGCCTGGAAGCGAGCGTTGACTGGGGAACCCTGTGTGTCTACACGTGTGCCGACAGCTGCAGCATTGGAAATACTTACAGAGAGGAATTTATCTGGAAACAAGATTTTTACAATCCGGATGAGTGAACTTTCCATTTTGATCTGTGATTTTTCTGCAGCTGTGAACTACTTTAAGGTCCCTTTATATTTATTTTTTTTGCCCCCAAGATTTAGAACTTCGGTCTGACAGGTCTTAAAGTCTAATTAACATCAAGACTTGTGCCCACATTTATTGCTAGGAAACTTCTAAAACATTGGTAAAGAATGCGTCTATCTCTTTTGTCTTTGACTTTGTTTTTGTTCTTACAAAAATAACGCTCTGAGATTCACTATGAATACAGTTTGAGGTGCCTCTTATATCATGGGTGACTTACTTGTGGTGCTGATGTTGTGTCAGGTTCCTGCCGCATTAATGTACACAATTGCTGGGGATGAAGACATTTATTTCCTACAGTCCAGCACACACATAGCAGACAGGCACAAAGTAAACCCATTTTCAGGTCTCAAATTTGTTCTTATACATGTATATATATTCCTAGTATTTAACACTCTGGTTGCTAAGCCTGGTGCTTGTATGTGTTTTGTTGAATCTAAGTGAGGAAGATCAAGATGCTTGTGTTGACATGGCTTAGTTCAAGGAGCAGGAAGAAAATATTCTTCTACCTTCTATATGATCTTCTTTTGTGCAAACAAATCAGAAAGCCAGAATTTTAACCTCTTCTCCATGCGTTTAACATGTCGTGGAAATTGTCCATATGGTTTGGAAATGTTCATCAATTTCCAATATGGCTCAGTAAAGAACTCATGGAAGAAGGACAGTGCTGCAATGAAAGCCATTATTCTTTCATCTTGCAAATAATTCAGAATTCTTTCCAGTTTAACCCCTTCACTTTTGCCCACTTTGACCCCATATGCTGGAAAAATTTCCAGAAACCGCAAGAAATAGGTGACATCCCTTATAGGTCGTTGGGTGCTCTTGAATTAAGTGAAAAGTATTACTAAGTATATATTTCTAAGCAATAGCTTTGATTGGATAGAGCTTTTGGAGCTGAAAACAAAGATGTCTTTGGTTTTTGTGTATCTTAATAATTATTTTACGAGCATTCAAAGTTTCGTTTGACTTAGTTTTTTTCCGCGCTTTCCGGAGAAGTGCTCGGGGCCCTTTCTTTGGAGAGTTGTATCTTTCAAAGTTGGCGTTTCATATTCATGAAATGCACAGAACTCAAAGTCCAGCACAATGATACCCCAAATCTATAATTGTTAAGTTGTATCTCTTTATTTAACAAAGATAATGAAAATGACAAAAAACTGTTTTTCGCTGTGGAAAAATGGCACAATCCAGCTGATTGTCCAACTTTGACATAGAGTCTCAAGAAAAAAAAAAGGGTACGACAAGTAAACCAAATATATTAGTCTACTAGCATGTTCTCAGAGACAAGCTCCAATTTTGTTCAAACCTCTCAAGCAATAATTGTAGGATTTATGGTCTTCCGAAAATTGCTTGAAGGCCTTTTTGGCCATTTGGAAGAAAAGTCTGAAAAAATAAGGGCAAGATATTGAATGTTCCCAGAATCATTTTTCCGCAACCAGTTGAGATAGAAAGATGATACTTATATCACTGTATTCGTCTTTTAAAGTACTAAAAGGCTATATTCTTTTTACACTGTTCTTTATACAACAAGATACAAAGAAAACCATCAAATGAATGTATATTGCGCAACAAAAATAAGTTTGAGAAAAACTTTGAAAATTCGTAAAAATTTCATTTTCAAAGCCATCAGAAAACCAAAGACATCCCTGTTTTCAGCTCGAAGAGCTCTATATGCTCAATTCACTATTAACTTTAGATTGTTTACTTTTAATAGTATAAATACCAAGTCAAGCCCTTGTCAAAGCGACAAGAGACTTGTCTGGTGTAAAGGATTATTTCCTCAGTATTTCTGGAATTGTAAATAGCACAACCACAACAGAACACCACACAAAATAAACAAATGGCAAAAGAACTGTATTAGTGACAATCTCACAACAGGGTTAATAGAACAATATAGTAGCATTAGATTAATTAGAATCCTCTTACCTCAGAGGCAGGCATTCTGAATCCTGAGGTAGGACTCGTTCAGTTCAGGAAGGCAACTGACTTTCCAGAGGCGGCAATTACGTCTCACAGGGCTGAGGTCTAAGTCCCAGGCGAAGACAAACTTGGCGTCAACTAGTGCGATGTTATCTGCTCTAGGCCAGCGGAAATATTCCTGGTTTGCTTTAGTCTGTTCCAAAAATTTCATCTCGGCGGAAGTGTCGCTGCAAACATTAACTACTTGGCCAATGTAGAACCTGTCGTTGTAGTAGACTGCAGCCCAGGTCTTGTGAAGCGAAATGGCTCATTCCACAGCTGCACCTTCTCTGAACTCAACATAAGAGTCTGAAATGAGGTCACGAAAAGTTCTCTCCTTTCGGGGACATCGCTGAGGAAGCCATACAGACAATCACGAAGGGCAGCTTCATTTGGTACTGGAAAGGATACTGACAAAGTGGTAGAAAAAGTCTGCTCAAACACTGGGAGTGCATTATGTGCCAAATCTGAGAATGCCGCATGCAGTTCTCGGACAAAGCGAGGGAATGAAGCAAAGCTGGTGTGGCTCTGGACCAGTTTCCAGTAGGGTCTCGTGAAATGCAGATGCATCAAGCCTAACGCTGTGACAAGTGTGTGATGGCCTGGGAAAACCAGGCACAATGTAATTTTTTATGTTTTTTAACTGATGGTGCCACTTGACAGCCCTTTCATTTCTCTACATGGCACTGTTTAAATTTTTCAAATATCTCAATTTATAACGGAGTTATGGCATTTTGATGTAAGGAACCGTGCGACTTGAGAATTTTAGAAAAACGCATTTGAAGTTAAGCCTTTTTTTATCATGAACTATTGTGCATAACTGATGAGATGCATTATTTGTAATGTGCAAATACCCTGCTCCCAGGCCCAAAAAACAGATGACTAACCAGCAAAAAGGAAAAAAAGAAGATAGTTGACTTTGTAGAGACGTGCAGTCGAAATAACGTTATGCAATCAAAACCATGTAAAAACCAGTGGACAAAAGTGAACTTCATAAAATATAAACAGCTATAACTTCCCTCCTAATTCACCTAGAGCAATCATTTTGGTATCAAATTAAAGCTTCTTTTCAGCATAAGAAGCTTAAATAGTTTAAATCTTTGTGTGATCATTGTGGAAAATAATATGAGTCAGCAAGTGTGATGAAGAGTGAAAAGAAAAAGGCTCATATATGTGAAGCATCGGATTTTCATTATAAACCTATACTGTAACCAGCACTTACAGTTGACAGCGCGTACATCCACTTCCCAAATAAATTCCAGGGCTAGAGAAGAATCACTGCTTTCTCCTCTTCTTTGCCGGTTGTTTTTTCGGGCGTACAATGGCAGGGGGGGTGTTGGGCTCCTCCGGGACGGTAGCTGGGGGATTGTCTGGTGTAGCGACAACTGGCTTGGGGCACACTATGTCCTTGAACTCCTCTTGCACGAAAGGCCTTATCTCCTGATACAAATAGTTCTGCCTCTTGTTGTCCAGCCCAGGCAAAGAAATAACACTGGGCATGCCCTCTAGTGGCACTCGCGCCTTCACAATATTTAGAGTCACTTCAGGGGAGCTAGAAAACTTCTTCACTACAAGTCCGTCCTGTGAAAAATGAAAATGCTGATTAGCCTTAATGTCTTTTACTTTTCGAAAGTACTGACCGAGAAACTCAGTCCACTTAAAAAAGGAGACAGAGGCTGTGTTGGGGTCAGGCCCAATAACATGCGCTAAGTTGGAAGTTGAGCTGCTCTCCACCACAGCGGCAATACATTGCATGGAGTCAACTTTAGTCCTCCGCAGCCGCTTCTTAAAAAGACCAAAGCACCAGTCCGGGCTAAACTTGGTGTGGCCAGTTATCAAGAAACTCATTTTAATGCTACGGTGACGGCCAGTCATGACACGCCACAGTAGGTAGTTCATCATAGCGCTGTTTTTGTTTTGTCCCGAACAATTGTCAGCATGAATGTGGAGATCCTGTTCACCAAGTCCATAGTTGCTAAGGAAGTGGTGAAGCAGGGAAATCACACAGTCAGCACCTTTGCCGGGCGAACACGCTTCGTCTATCAAGTAGTTGATTTGTTTGGACAGAGCTTCACAGTGGATCCCGAAAAGCCCACACTTCCTGGGGGTCTTGAAGTAAATGGGCCCTGGCTGAAGTGGGTTGGACGGATACTGCACTTGCTGCGCAAAATCGAAACTGTAATGAACAACACCGTCATAGGAGCATGGGGGATTAACGCCGAAATCTGCTATATGCTCAGGTAGAGCCTGTTTAGCGGTATCACAGACAAAGCGGAAATATGACCGCTCAGAAGTGACGATGAAGAGATGCTGTTCTATGTCCTTTATAACAGCAGTCTTTGTCTCCACAGACTCGTTCCGCACACGAGTAAGTTTCGCAGCATCCTGCTGACACACCCAGCACAGGTCAGTAGCTGGAGGCATAGTTCTTATGAATGGCAGCAAAGCAGCCCAAATCCGCCGAAAGCTTCTGTAGCTCACAACACGACTTTCCGGCACTGAAGATAGGGTTTCAGAATACTGATCGAAGACACTTTTTTTTAACAGTTTGTGGGCAGCAGCTTTACATCCGACACCCAGTTGTGTGGAGTACACCCCAGCAGCATGATTGCGTGGTCTTCGGCATAATTGACAACGAAGTCCACAACATTCCGTGTGTCCTTGAAAGACAAGGAGTTCGAAGGCAGCTTCTTGAGGTTTCCATGTTGGCGTGGGGAGAGTTAAGGGTAGGGGCTGGGTCAGGGTTATTTGTTTTTGTAAAGTGTTTTACGGCGCTCGCAACTGCATAAGGTCGTATGAGCGCCGGGGACACACCTAATATTTTCAGTTGGTAGGAAATTTTGAATTTTTTGCGGGTGGCGGCCAAAGCCTACTCTTATCGATTTTAGACCACCAAGGGACTTTTAACGTGCGCATCTTGCACACGGGCCCTCCGAGATTTTTCCGCCCTTGTCCGAGAAGGCTAGGTGTAGATCTTTCCTACCAAAAGATCAGGGGTGTGGCTGAAAGACAGCAGTAGGAAGAAGCGAAGGAGTAGCAGTAGAAAGGCTGCAGAAAGAATCAGGAGCCCAAAGGAAGGGGCAAAGGAGGTGAGGGGATGGGAACAGGAAGAGGAGACGAAAGCTGACGACAGAACATTGCTAGAGAGCAGGAAATGAGGTGAAAGGAGACAAATTTAGAGAAGAAAATTTTTTGGTCGCTACCCGGATTCGAACCCGGGACCTTTTGAATGAGAGGCCAACACCTTAACCTCGAGGCCACGAGAGCCCCCCCCCCCCCCCGGTCAGGGATAGGTTTCTTCTGTAGGCCTATTGTCTATTGTGTTTGCTGGGGTGATCGCTTGTTACGGAAATCCTTCCTGATTTATTAAGCAAAGGTAGTAACTTACATCTTTCCAAGTAGCTCCAGTTTCTTGACACAGGAGGTGAATATGCAAAAGCAGCTCATTGTTGCGAGGCAGATCTTGTGGCAATGATGGTCTGCGTCCCTTTCCGGTTGCTAACAACGTAGCACGAAGAGATGACATCCATTGGTCTGGAAAAAAAAATCATTCATTAGTCTGAGCTACACACATGAAACTTTTGGGGAGAGAGAAGAGTAATACAATACTGTCCAGACCCAGGGAGTAAGGGCATTTGAGGAATAGAAGAAGATATACCATACAAGAATCTCTACGAAGTTTTGACAGATCTGGTTGTGTGCACGTCTAGATCTAGCCTACAAAAAAGTTAATGCATGATATTTGATAAGTAGGTTAGTAGTAATAGTAGGGCTATACTGTGGACTTACACATAACATACTTGCCATGTCCGATTCAGATCTAGATCTAGCTGCGTACAATGGTATTTCATTCTCGACTGTGCGACGTTTTGCCGTGGAAAGAGAGAAGAAAGTAAAGGAGGGTAAAATCCGCTTCGCGAAAATCGGGCTCTGCGCGCGGATTTTACGGGTTCTGCATACCTAAAAGAAACTTGATTTACTACATGATTTAAGACCATGAATTGGGTGTTTTGATACTCATAAGAGAGACAAAAGGTTGCTGAATAATATGATATAAAAATTATGCCAATCCCGTGAATGGGCTTTGTTTGTCAGCAAATTGAAAACGATCAAAATTTGACTTCGTGTGTGCTGTATGCCCGTGATCGGCCGCTACCCGCGGTACCTATAATGATACTCTACACTTATATGCACACACAATTCCACAGGAAAAAATAATTCACAGAGATATGTGCACAACTATTTCCATTCACAAGCGAAACTGGACTTCACTCGTTCCGCCAGAAAAACCTCTCTGTGTGGTACTTCCTGAAGCACCCACTCAGACAGAGGCCTGGCTTACTTGGGCAGTCTGGGCAGTAGTACCTTGTGTCTTTCTGCAAACCCTTCTTTGTACAAACACAGCACCTTTTTGGGGGATGATCTTTTTTCTCAGTTGGGGGAAGAACTTCAACAAAGTGCTTGTCGTAAAGTCAGACCGCATGATCATCGGTGACACTTGGAGCACCATCATCCCCAAAGATCCAGTCTGCAACAATATCTTTCTGGAAGTCAAGGAAACTTGGCTTATTCCCTGCTTTTTCGAACCGGGTATGCGCATTCAGCATTTCAATTTGAATCATGTGCACGAACAACTTCTTGTACCTCTTGAGGGTTTTCCGTGTGGCCTCGTATGGTTGGAGTAGTTGATCATGGCGGTCTACTGAGCCCATGTGTAGGTTATATGACAACACAGAGGGTGGCTTCTCTGCGGTCCCTTTAGGATCGTGGCATGTGGTCAACATGTACACCTACCTCTTGTCATGGTATTTCTGAGCAAGAAGGTGGCCACTGGCACAGCTTTCAGTAGCTCCCTTCTCAACTGGAAGCGCTCTGAGCAGAGGAGCGGTCCTGTTCTTTCTCATGATGCCACAAGCTGATGTTTGTTGGCTGTGGAGGAAGGAAAATAGGTCCATAGAAGTGTACCAGTTGTCAACAAAGAGTTTATATCCCTTGTTCAGCAGAGGGAGCATGAGGTAGACAAATTCTTTGGCAGGTCTGCCAAAGGTGGCACATTCGTCTGGCAGGATTGCATCAATGGCCTCAGTGCTTTCGTCCTTTCCTGCATATATGCGAAAACGGTTTGTGTAACCACTGCCGTCACACAAAAGAAACGATTTGATTCCGAATCGAGCCCTTTTCAGCGGTATGTACTGCTTGAATAAAAGCCGACCTTTCCAAAGCATAAGAGACTCATCGATCGCAATGTTCTGGT